TTTCAAATTTCAAATAGTGTTAATAACATAAAAACTATAAAGTATATATCGGATTTATTACAAATTCGTTGTTTCAAAAAAGAGGGACGCCAGCCTCACTGACGTCTGTAATGTCACTTCTTCTAGTACGTTCCATGATATTTTCAAATGAAACTTCCATTGTTCTTAATGCTCCTGTATTCCTCGAAGGTTCTTCATAATCACATATTTCAATGATACGCAGTCACTGAAAACTGAACTCTGAATTCTCAATTCTGCCGTCGAGAGTCCAAACGTCATATTTATAGCAAGATTTAAACATAGTTCTATTCTCTTTTTAAACAACCTTTGATTTCGTTTTACTTTTAACAATAATCATAAATACTAATGAGGTTTAATAAGAATAATTGATGACAGCCTCAAAATATTTTCATGTCGCATCCGTTAATAAAGCTGATAACGCGGATATATATCATAAGAAAACCTTTTTAAAAACGCTTATTTGTAATTAAAGTATGCTGTCAAGGTAAAAAGTAATCATATTTATTTGAAAATTGAGGAAAGGAAAGTAAAGTAGAGTAAACTGGCAAACGAGAAAAAAACGTTATGTTTTTATTCATATTTCAAATTAAAAACTTTGAAATACATCAAAATCTACAATGTATATGCAATATCTTTCCTTGATAGTTTTATTACTTTTATATATATACATCCCTGCTCTAAATTATTTACTGACCTCGTATAAGAGCATCATCACATGATTGCGTACTTACCTAATTTTTTACATGTATGACCTATTACTCTATTGGTATGGATTATAGATTAATGATTTTAAAATACCGTGACATACATAATAAATCAATCTCAAATTGTACCTTATATTTTGTACCTTTGTAGCTCTCAAATGGATCGTCCTTTTGTGATGCGGTTTTTTCATTTGAAATCTAAATTGTATGTAGTGATTCTTAAGTACACCTATGTATGTTAGGTTCTAATATCAATCGAACAATATTAAACTGTTAACTCTTTTTACGTTAAATTGAAGCTTATGGTTGTTAAGATGTAATTAAATTTCGTTTTATGTTCTTTATTTGTCTAGGTAACACTGAAAATGTTTTGAATATGAAAAACGGCTTATTGTAGAAAGTTGCGATTACTTTTATTGTTTTTTGAAGTGATTCCCGTTCCTCTCCACACATCGTCGTATTCGATGGAACCAGTAAGAAAAACAGTGGGCCCATTCTACCTTAGTGATGTCTTCCTTGGCATTTTCCAATGCTTTCACCGCATCTTCAGGGCTCTTAGAGAGAATACCACGTGATTTATCTTTAATTCTTGGGAATAAATAAAAGCTTCAGCCTGCTTCGAGGGCGCTGTAGTCGAGTTTTTTCTACAACAAAAAGCAAATAACGATTAGCATACTGGTTTGCAATGACTGCTCCTCTTTTTTAAGCACAACTGTCGTGAAAATACCTTTCTTACCAAAGAATGAGGCAACCATCTTTTTACCTTGATTTCTTCCCTTTATACCTTAGTTAGCCGATTCGAAAAAAAAACTTCGACTGAGCTGATAGTCTTTTGGATTCGGGCTCGTAGCAATATATGCAGTTTTCATCATCTGTCACGATGTCAAATATATCACATTTGAGTCACTGCCGTTAAACTTATCTAACATTTGGCGACACCAGTCCGTGTAAAGGTGTTTCTGCTCTATAGTTTAAGTATGAGTAATCCATCTGGTACAAAGTTTCCCGACGCCTAAATGTTCGTTTAATGTATTCGACTCATACCAATGCTGATAGGTTATTCTCTTATCTTCGTCTAGCGTACGTCTCACAGCACTGATGTTATCTTCAGTAATCGTTGTTAAAGGACGACCTTCAAGCTGATCATCATTGCGATTGCTACGTCAACGCTTAAATTCAGTAAACCAATTGTAAATAGTGGCACCAGATGGGGCTTTATTAAAATATACAAATCACAGTCAATCATAGATTTGTTGTTGAGTAAGCCAACAACAAAAGTCATAATAAATCAGTGACCGAAACTTTTCTCGCCTGTTGACTTTTCTCTCATTTTCACGGATAACAAGAGTTTTAAATTTGCCGCCAATACGCAAAAACAAATAATAATGTAATATGCTACATTAGGATACAAAAAGAGTTCTTACATTGAAAAAAATAATCATCAGCTATGTTTCTAACTGGCTAGTTCTAAGCGCAACTCTTGCACGCTAAGTCTTACTAAAATTAGGCTGTATTGGTCTTGCAAAAGCCCAAGAACAAGACTGATTTGTTTCAACATATAGAAATGTCTGCACTGAAATTAATAGTTATGGTGTTTTTTTTAGATCAACAAAAATGAGCAAAATAACCTCGCAAAAAAACCTTCTTGATGTATATGAAATTAAAAATATTGACGTAAAAAATATTACCCAGTAAAAGTAGTTATTTTTCAAAATATTATATAACAGCAAAATTAAAAGAAAAAAGAAATTTTGTGGTATATTTTTTTTTATTATATGAATTATTACGAGGCAAATATTGCTACATTTTATAGAAACGCAAATACTTTCATAAAATAAATTCAAGTATCCTAAGCATTTAAAACCAATTAATAGTTGCAAAATTATATCTCAAAGCTAACAAACATAAGTATTGCTTAATTGGATAAACTACTAAAGGGTCAAAGGTCACCTGAAAAGTCTTTGTACCGAACTGCTCCTATTTAATTCAATCGAAATTGATATATTAAACAAATATATTTATCAAACCTACAATTAGGAATTTATTTTACGTAGATATATCTTTTGATGAAGTAATTTTATGTATATTTGTTGTATTTTTTTTTGGGTTAAGTAGTCTACAGTGGTCATATATTTATATAATTACATGACTAAATTTAAAAGTAAATAATGTACCTATATAATTTGGGGTTTTAATTTTTATACAAAAAATATGAGGTTAACCTTGTAGCTAAATAAATGTAGCTGTATTTTGGATTTTTAATGTAGAAAAATTTTAAATACATTCAATTAGAATACAAGAATTTAACAGACTAACTGTAGCAGGTGTATAGTGACAGATATTAATTTAATTATAAGTCGATTTCAAAGTGATTTTATTAAACTTTGAGATAGTTGGTTTTTAAATTATCGATGACAAAAAGTATATTATTTTGTAATATTATGCTTTCATTCCTAAGAAATGTTGTTGCTATAATTTTTATTTTCTTAAGTTGTCATATTCTATGTAATGTAATCTGAACAAATATTTTTTAAGAGTTTTAATTTTCACTTTCACCTTTTATCGTCAACGTCTTGACAACTTTTTATCTATACAAATAAATAAAATTGGCGTATCTGCTTGTAATATTGAAATAACCGTTTTTTACTGCATGCGTATGAATATGTATACAGCACATACACCAAAATAAAAAAAATTACAATTTTTTCTCTCTGTCTGTCTGTTTGTTCCGACTAAACTCTGAAATGGCTGAACCGATTGTGACGGGACTATAATAACGATGTAATAAGAAGTAACTTATGCTGCTTTTTATCCCGATCTCGAAATAAAGTTTTATAACGCGAGAGGGATTCAGGACTTAGGCGACGCTAAAAAGGTTTTTCGTTTTTTATTTTTTTTACGCAGACGAAGTCGTGGGTAACAGCTAGTATTTATATAAAAATTTGAAATTTTGTCCTAAACTCGTAAAATTGGTTTAACTGATTATTTACAAAATTAAATTATATAATACATACATAATTAGCAAATTGTGCCAATATAAAAAATACATAAATTGACATATTTTTTATGAAAATTACAAAACGTTTGCTACATATTGATTTTAAAGAATTAAATAGGAAAATACATAACTAAGTAAAAGGTTTTCATTGCACTATCATAAAAAACAAATTTATTAATTTGTTTATGTTATATCATGAATATTATGGAGTAGCCGTAAGTAGCAATTACGTTCAAGATTATGTTATCATTATAGACAAACACACGAAATAAAGAAACAATTAAAATAATATATGTAAATAAATCTTCAATATACCGTGTGTGCTTTTATAAAAATAACAAGTGACAACTCCTTGTGTTTCGTTGGACGATCCAAACTTGAAATTTTGAACGCAGATGCCCAGCTTCCCGTTACACGAGAGGGATTTGTTACCTCTACAGTAGTATCGTGTGGTCCATGGCCATGGATAGGAGAGAGACTTCAACACGATGTGACAGTTTAATTGTTGTTGGAAAGACATTAGCTCAATACCTCTTTCCACTCTTTACAAAACCGATGGTCAAGAATGGGGGTAACACAACACAACGGCGCGTCAGACCTACCTGGCCACTTCATACGGGGGTTGGGAATACCTAAGTCATTCCCTTAGGTACAAATAAAAAAAAATCTTTAACGACATCCTCTTCAATGCATTTGTAACATCCTTTATGTCCATGGTTGGCTATCAAAATCCTACAAAGTACAAAATGAAAAAAATGATATATAACAATTTTACTAACGGATTTATCAAATTTATACTTCGATGGGATTAACTAAGAGCTTAAATTGTAAAATAATATAATAATGTTATTAAAATACAATACATTTGTATCACTACAGACCTTGTTGAATCGTAATTCATAGTATTTAAATTAAATGGTAAAAAATCTGAAAATACTCACATCTTTTATATTCGTCGAATATTAGAATCGTAAAAAGTAAGTAAACAAATCTAAGTATCCCTTATCTTAAAATTATATACTTTACAACTTAAAGTCACTTACTTTATTTAAATTCAATATGACCAACTTTTTCCAAAATATCACTAATAAGGAATCTTAATTATTCACAGAACATCAGTTCTGGTTATTGAATAATATAATATGATATAAAAGATAGAAATCATTACGTCAATTTAACAAGTAAATTTTGTTGTTTATATATAAGATAAAAGATTAAGACGACGTTTCGTTGAAGATTCATTTATTGTTTTCGTCTTGAAGTGTAAGAGTAACGTTATGAAGACCACGGAAAAATCAAACAGAAAATATGAATATGTGGCTCCAGAAGGAGGCTGGGGTTACGTAGTGTGCGTAGGACATATCATAAATTCGGTACGTATTATTTACTTCCAAATATTCAATGAACCGTTGGTTAAATTTTGTTTTGGGATACACTTGTACATATATGTAGATTTTTTCAAACAATTTCAGCGTACAACGAAAATATGTATCAATAAGTTATATAGTTAGAAGTTCTTGATTTTAGTAAACATTCTAAGGCTTTTCATTAGTTTAAATATCGGCTAAATAAGATATTTTTAAAAATTCCCATTAAAATTACCAGGTTCGTATTTTATGAATATTATTCTGTATAAATTTCCACGAAGAAAATAATATTGTCGCCTTTGGATTTTTTTTTAAACAAATATACACGATAAATTGTTTTACAATTCAGTATAAGTCATTTATGTTGTATTCAAAAAGATTTTAAGCATATTTTCAATATATATTCATCATGAATCGGCATTATTTAAATACACGTATTATCCTAAAGATATATATTTTGTCTGAAGAAATAATGATACTGTTTTTTATATGTATCACTTAACAGTTTATGATGTAAACGCTGATTCTCCTAATATAGGATTGTTTGTTTTCATGATAAAGGAAAGCTAAATTACATAATATAAAATAGTAAATGGGGTATAATGATTTGGATAACCAAGGAACAAGTCAGAGCAGTGATCGCATTGGAACATTGTACCTAAACTTTGCGATTGGCACAAGTGATAATCAAAAAAGGTTGCTCCTGTTATTTGGTTTGGAGAATATGGTTGAATGTCAATAATGTATTTACCTATAGACGTTTGGTTACTTTCGTTATCGTATTTTTTGTAGCGATTGTGTTAAGGTGGTCGTTTGTTTCCTTGTTAAGACCTCTACATGATCATAGAACCTTCGCGGGAGGCTGCTAACATAATTTTTTTTGTGCACTAGCATAGAATAGTGTTAGGCTTCAAACTATTATTATTAGATACGGGTTACAGTTTATGATCTAATAAGAAGAAAACCTGGCAAAATCTTATTGTGCCCCGACCGATGAGGGATTAGTTTTGACATTGTCCATTATTTATCTTACCAACGAAATCTTATCTGAGAAACAGATGAAATGTACTGACAGTGGTTGACTGTTCAACAAAACCCTACTACCCCTAATAAGTTGATATTTCCCTTTGTTAACCGGTAGTTCAATAAACGTTCTTTTCTAGCTCAGTACATCAACGTAGGATATATGAAAATCAGTTTACTAATAGAGTGTGTAAAGTAAATACTTATATTTATTGATTTTATTTATATTTGTGAAACTTTGTGGCATCAAGTTGACTCATATATTTTAGTAATCAATACTGAAGTTTTACAGTGTATGTCAATCCTGATCAGTTTCAAATCCAAAATATAGCTCCGAGATACTTAATATGTAACAATACTGGATCTATATCAAAGCGAAAAAATAAATTATACACAGAAGTTATTTGCTTATAAAACATTATAAGATAATTGTATTTAAAGAATAATCTTTATCTTAAAAACAATACCATACCAGCAGTTTTATCAAAGCATTTGACACGGTAGACGTGATTTATTACATATGACTTAAGACATCTTCATACCACCATTAAGTTTATATTTTATATGCAACTCATGCTTACACAATTAAAGTTCCCTGTTTGATTAAATCATAAGCAATTACAGATAGTGGTATTTGTATAAGTATTTGCATTATTTAAATCATTGCGAATTTTTAATGTGGTGAAAATTATCAGTCAAGTAATTTAAGTGATTAAGATAATATAACAGCTATTTTTCCTATTATTAGTTTTTATGACATTAGGGAAATTTACGTTACAAACCTTATTAGAAGATTAAAATATGCACATAACTATTGTTTCAGTAACATTAACATAATTTGAATGTTTGCCATCATAAAGTGTTTGTTGAAATACTCCAAAATAGTTAATTGTTTTAATATCTAGTAGTAACTTTATTTTATAAATATTTACTATTATATAGTCTACATTCATAAAATGTTTATTTGATATGGTTTTACTAACATTATGCTAATCTGTCTGCTGATTTGGAAACAAAATAATTAGATAATGTATGGAATTTGTATGACATTGTGTGAAGTTTATCTGGATTACATTTCAAATACTGGAAGCATCCTTGTTATATTTTAAAAGAATATATTGAAATATGGTCGCAGTACAACGATGTCATCAATTATGAGTCCAAGTAGCTATTATATATTTAATTAATTTAAATTTAGCGAAAATGTAACTGACTACAAGAATAATTTTAATGGGATCTAAGAATTTCGGGAGTACTCATTTATCCGGCATCCAGAGCGGTACGTCAGAAAATAAAGAAATCGATGGCGGTAGGTGAAAAAATAATAAGACCGACTGACAGATACTCGCATCTCGTCTGCCCGTGATCATGGTTGCTGTAAAGTCACCGAAACGTCGGGAGTATGTAGTTTATAGTCAAAAATAAAAAAACCGAATAGTAAATTGGAAAATGTTAGTTTCATTTCAAAGAATAAGTTTTTCAAATCTAGCAACATACCACCAACATTTGTCTTTTTTATTATTATTATCAATGTTTATTTATCATGAAAATAAATCCTCTATACTTATATATATTATACTTATAAAATAAAACAGTTTCTCTTTTTATAAATTTTAAAAAAATGTGTTATTTATTTTCAGATCACTATTACCGCCTTCTTGAATTGCTTCGGAATGATTTACAAAGATTTATTTATTAAATTGAACATGGATTCAACTTCCATCACGTTGCTAAATGGGCTCAGTGCGACTTTCATGTCATTATCAGGTATTAATTTAATTTGTTTTATTGGATTTTAAAATAATTCACTTACCCTTATTGGTGAAAGCATATTTGGAAATATGAGAAGGTAATTGTATTTAGTTAACTAAAGTTTTCGTAATAGAGTAAATAATTTTTTTAAATATAAACTGGACAGCGCCTATCATTCCATTTTATTTCCAGTAATAGCTTGTTCACTCTTACCTTGAAGATATCCAAATTGTAAGTAGAAAGAACCAAAACTGCAAACAAACTGTTCCAATTCTTTCCTTTACGCATGAGGAATGAGTCTACATAATCTATAGAGAAAGAATGGATACATGCCCGAATAATTATATTTCAAATTGATTATCAGTCTCCAAAATGTATCGTATAAAATATTCAGAGACAGGTCATTTTATGTCTGTCCAGGGTAATGGAATTGATTTTAAGCAAATTCTCGTCTCACAATAAGCCATATTGACCATCTCTTTACAAAGTCCAAATCTGTCAGTTGACAGCTCATAGCACTTGTTGATTTATGATAGGAGTTTTACACATTCTACGGGATATATATGGTTTGTGGAAACAAGCTATACTAGCGTGAAGTTCGGCCTTATTTTTTTCCACCCTGAGTTACCTCGTATTAATATTTATTTTCAGATATTTAAGTTAATTTTTGAAATACAATAATATCAATAGAATTCAGAATAATACAATCTAATCTAAAATAGATATAAGAAAGAAATTAATGTTTTGTTATTCTTTATTGTAATAATTTTTTTTCAGGTTTCCTCACCGGTCCTTTGTTGAAATTTTTATCCATTAGACAACTGGGTTTGCTGGCGACCGTAATATTTAATCTTGGGATGTTCGGGATGGTATTTGTATCGTCTAAAATAGCATTCTACGTTTGTTTCGGTGTCTTACAGGTAATGTTATTTATATTCGATATGTGAAATATTGTTTGTAGTTACTACATAATTGATTTAATTTCCTTATGATAATAACATCGAAACGGAAATTTGATTCCAGAGTCTCGGGAACGGAGTTATATTCAATTTGTCGTGCACGGTATTGAACAATTACTTTGTTAAGAAAAGATTGTTTGCAATAAGTTTCACTCAAACTATTATAGGTATGTAATTTTATCTTTATAAAAAGCCCTTAGTTTCTTTATAAAAAGCTCTCAAATGGCTGTAGTCTTCAATGTAAAATAGGGTAAGATTATGTAAGATTAGTCGCTAAAATGTTTTTAAATTAGAAGCATAAAAACTATAAACTGAATTATAAATTAAGTTAACAAAGTTTATTGGATTAAAAAACAAACATAATTGGTAGCAAAAAAAAATGGTGATGGAAATGATTTTAGTCTAGTTATATAGATTTTTATTTAGGCCAAGTTTCAATATTTTTTGTATAGCAATGAAAACGGAATTAAGATTTATATCGTAAATAGATAAGGCAATGGATCTTTTAAAAGCAGAATACTTACAATTTACTGTCATTTTAGCTGTATCTGGGCTAGTGGTACCCCAGTTTTTAAAATGGTCGTTGGATGCATACGGACTACGAGGAACTCTGCTTTTGATATCCGGGATATGTATACACAATATTTTTGGCATGATTCTGATGCAACCTGTCGCTTGGCATTTGAAACAAGTTGAAGTACCTGAAACAGAAAAGGGTATGAAAAATATCTATGAAATAAAAATTCTATTATTTTAATGATAATTTAATAATGAGATTAATACAGAATTATTTTAAGTATACGTATTAATAATGTATTTCAGATATACTTGAAACAAAAGCGTTTCTGGCAAAGGAGCATCAAATTTCTAATAAGGAAAATAACAAACAAAAATTGAATGAAGCGGGCGAAGTTGTCATTAGTGAGAAATATAATATTGAAGAGGGGACCATTTATAGCTCGAAATCTAAGTATGTTATTTTTGTATTATAAGGATATGAAATAATTATAATATAATTATAATATTAATAGAATGGTAATCATAATTCTTTTGTTTACTTTTAGGAGCATATTATCGAAATTTCTGGATTTTAAAGAATACCGATCATTCCTATTATCAAATGCATACCTTGGTATGGGACTATGTACTTTTTCAGATTTCACTTTTATAATAATGCTTCCTCAGGCTTTATATTCTATGGGATGGGATGAAGTAAGTTAAAAATATTAACGTCAATTTAACTTAGATTATAAACGAAATTGTATTCATCAGTGATAATTTTAACAAACAACTTAAGTTATTTTACATAACGTTGAAAAAAGTATTTGTTTTTAAATGATTTTTGTATATTAAATATTCGATGATTTGCAAAGCATATAACATAATTGAAAAGATTTTTGCCGCTAAATGTATTTTCCTTTTTCAAATTTATCGATAATGTTTATTTCAGGCGAATGTCGCTTGGGGGTTATCACTTATTGCTACAGGAGACTGCGCCTCCAGATTTTTATTAATATTTTTGAGCGGTTGGTTGGTGAATTTTGGAAGCCACGAGATTTATCTAGTTGGACTCATAATAGCTTTTATTACTAAAATAGGTGAGTTATAAATTTTTAATATTTCTTATAGTTATGATGTTAACAATACCTAAAATAATAGCATTTTTTGATTCCAAGGAGTTTCTAGATAGTAATGAACTTAGTGTTTTTATAATCAAACTGTATTTAAATCACTTTATATAAGGAAATAAAAGTAATGTTTAAAACAATATGCCAATAGAAAAATAAAATGAATTAAAAAATTTATCTTAAGCTATATGTCAAATGCCTGTACCTGTGATGAGAATGATCTTACCGAAAGAAGATAACAATCAATTTGAATTTTGAATTTTTCTTTTAATAGAGCTCCTAAAATTTTCAAAATTACCAAATATCAAACTTTATCAAAATGAATATCATAAAGGTTTTTTTAATCTTATATTTTATACGTGGGAAAAAATCCAGTATAAAAACTCTTACGATAAGATAGGTTATTAATTTATCTACAATTTTGTTTTTGTTTTTGTCTGAAGACACTTATTTTTGGCTTATTTTAAATGCATGATACATAAAATGTCTATAGCTTATCTTAAAAGGCACACTCAATAGTCTATTTTCCTTAATTTACTAAAATACCTTTTTTTGCAAAGCGACATTAAAGACAATACAAATCATTCTTTATCCTTCAAATAATATGTAATTGAATACCATTTCTGCATTTGGTTTTTTAATTAACGATAAACTCAGTGAATTAACCATTTTCGTTCAAAGCCCGGCAGCTCAGCTTGAAATAGTAGTTTCGAAATGCCATAGAAACTTACACTGAACCTAAATAAGGAACCTCTCTAGTTTATAAGGGTGTTAAGTAGGAATATTGGTTTTCTAGCCAGCCTCTTCCAAAATTTATAACCTACGTTAGGCCTAGAATATGTATTATTTCAAAAAGAAATAGAAATAATGCATCAAATAACTTTAAACGACAATTTTTATCACGGACATCACTTAAAAAATGGAGCAACAACTTATAATGTAGATTTATTTTGATCCTTATTTTTTGTATGATAGTATTTTCGCTAAAATTATAAAATTATTTTCAGGCATGCTCTGGTCAGAAAATATGACGATAATATTTATTTTCATAACCATAATGGGAGTGTCGCGCTGCCTAACATTAGTGTTAATGCCGTTGGTCATCGCAGACGCTGTAAAACCTGAACTCTTTACAGGTGCTATGGGATTGGAGTTGACAATCGTTGGAATTTATAGTTTGGTTTTAGGCCCAGTTATAGGTAGGTAATAAAAAAACTACCTTATATTTATCAGAAAAATTTTAACATTATTTTTTAGAATTCAATATCTAATCCCGATAATAATTTAATGAAACATTCCCTCTATATATTCACGTTTGGCATCTGATTGGGGTAAATATTGCTTGAGGGTCATAAGAACCCTTTTTAAAAAGCTTTTAAACCTTTCTAAAGTAAATCTTTAATTCGGTCATCGGAAGTCTTACATATGTAGATTCCCTTGTTAATCTACCGCTTTTGTACTACCTCATTGAACATATTTTTTTTGAATTATAATATCACTCAGAACATGAAGGAAACAACAGTTATTTTTTGTTAACTTAACCTATTTAGTTTATTTGCAATCTAAACATTTTAAAAGAGCTCAATCTCTGTTTTTCTTAGAACAGTCAATATTTATTTCCTTACTAAAAAGTAAGTACTTAACCTAGGAAAGTAACTGCGATTATTGAAATTTAATATCTCTCAACTCCTCTTATGCAAGATTTTTTTTAAGATACCAATATCCTAATCCCGTTTTGCAATCCTCCTGTAATATTTTTTGATTGCAAGTTTCAATTGCAACAAAAATTCATTCACTTTTTTTGTTAGGTGAATAAAAAAAAAATATTAATACTTTGTACAAAGTGACCATCATCGAACTATTATATGAAAACGTTACCACAACAATTTAAAAACTCGTCTTGTAGCCACATCTTTAGAACGAACTCGGTACTTGAACTAACTACTCATTTATTTACTTTACTTTCAGGGCTTTAAATCAATTTACCTTTCTTTATCTAATTATTGAGAAAGATTTCTAGTGTGGAACCATTTCTGTGTGGAGACATCTTCACCAAACTCAGATACGAGTAGTTTTAATCGTGAATTTCACTTATCATCTTAAATAGCATTCAGCTTATCAATGTATTATTATTATGAGCTAGCTTAGTTGGTTTATTATAAAGATTTACATACTGGAAAATATTGGAAATCCCCATTGGGTAAATTAAGTTTGTGTATCATAATACTAAATTGTACTGATCCGTACTTTTAAAGATAAGGAATCATAAAATATTCATATGAAACATTTCTTAATTTCAGGTGCAGTTCGAGATCTGACCGATAGTTACGCAACAGCATTTTACATTCTAGCTTCCTGTTTCGGAGTAATTATAGTATTTTGGTCGATAGAACTCCTTTACAAGAAGAATAAACATAAAAGACAAACATAAAATATTGCATGATGAATCTCAAAATAACTTTTATTTAATCGAAAAATTAACTATTACATTAAGCAGCTGGCTCTGTTATTTATCTGTAATTAAAAATTAATTTAGGTTGTAATATATTAACCATATATTATTATAAATACATATTTTTTATTACCTACAAAAAAGATTTTCTTATTGTTATAACATAAATATATGTTAAAATATTATACATTTTGCAGATAGTCACACAGTACAAAACTAACGTTATTGAACTTTTGTTATAAAAATTATGCTTGATTATAATTTGTTTAACAATCAACATATACATGTGCCAAAATGATTTATGTTTTGGACCCAACTAATAATATTATTGAGTGGTCACCCACTTAAGATGACAACTTAAGAAGCAAAAATGTGACATACACATTTTTGCTAATTCATACCGTGGCTTGTTATTCAAAGGAAAAAAACACTAGAGTAAGAGAAAAGTAAATTATCACACGTACCCTACATAAAAGTAACTAAAGGTTTATCATAATGGAGACTACTGGAATTAACAACTATGTATAAAGAGCTATAAAGAAAGTAGGGGAATCTTTAAGTTAAATTACTCGAATTCCTCTAATTAAGATCAGCTGTAATATTTAATATCTTTTGATCATATGCTAGAGGAGGCTACCGAGTTAGTACAAGAATCTTCTTGTTACAGCTACTTTCATTCATTCTATCGTACAAAAGATCAACGTTACACAGATATATCTCTTTATTTAATACAAAATTGTAATTGTTAGGAGTATTGTCTGAAACATAAATACATTGTAAATCTTCTTGGTAAGGGTTATATAAACTTGTCACTTATAACAATCTAAAAAAAAATAGGTGTTAAAACACTACCTATTTACGTAATAATAAGAATATGATAGTTTTAATCCTATTTCGTGAATAGAGATAAGATGTAATATATATTTATTTGATATTAAATTTTATTTACTATTCATATCCATACAAAAGTTTGTCAAATGATTTAGTAAATTCGATATATGTGATGCAAATCATTTTTTTTATTCTGGTTTTATTAATTTTGTTTATTTTGATCTTATCTCTATTTTATCATTCGTTTTAATTATGGTTCCATTTTTAGTATACGCATACTTTATTAAAATTTTTGCATAATACTACCTTGCAAACGTTATAGGAAGGTCATAAAAAATATTGGTGTCTTAAGTGTGGAATCTATGTCTATTAATATAACTGTCAATTATGTTTTTGCTTTCACATTTGGTTTGATTAACATAATGTCTTGATAATATTTTTTTCGTACGACTTTTAAAGTCTACGTAGGCTTATAAAGGTCTGATTTTTAGACATTCGATGCCCTAAATTCAAATTCATATTTCCTCTTAGTAGATTTTTTGGGTACTATTTAAAATCTTCTATATATATAAAAATGGATTGCTGTTCCTTAGTCTCGCTAAAACTCGAGAACAGCTGAACGGATTTGTCTTATCTTAGTCTTGAAATGTTCGTGGAGGTTCAGGGAAAGTATAAAAGGTGAGAAAAATTGGAATAATTGCCGGGAAAACCCTAAAAACAGCCCTTTTCTATTTCCCATACAAACGCTTTTTTTGACATTAGATTTGACAACTAACTAATATGTCAATCATTCTGTTTGATTGAAACAGGAAAAACCTGATTATTTATGGCCTCTAAGACGGAATAGAGTTCGCCTGGTCAGCTATACATATATTACTAATGACGAAACTAACGCGGACGAAGTCGCGGGCAAAAACTAGTAATTCATATTTTTCTAAAATACCATTAGTTGTAATGTAAAATCTTAATAAAACTATCCCTGAAACTGTCTTCGAATACTAGTAACATAGAGATACTAACTACATACTTACGCGAAAGATTTTTCAAATTATAAGAACCGAATAAGAAGTGTTGACATTGATCTTTAGCATTCTTTTACAATGTACTGGAAATTTTCAAACTAAAGTATCTATAAATATATGAGACAGTTTTAAAGCTGTAATAAATAACTTTAGTGGAAACGGTTGTCCGAACTCATTCTGTCTAGTAAAGCAAAAAGGTTCTATCCGCAAAATAATAAAAAAACATCTTGGTCATATAAGAACTAAATATATATATTTTTTTACTTTGTAAAACTTAAGAGTTCTTTGTAAAATTGCATTTTTTTTCTTAGACATTATATTATAAGTTCTTTTAATAATATTTGAAATTTAATATCTAAATACAGGTCAATATTATATTAAAGACATGTAAATATTCTTATCTAGTCATTAATTCCGTTTCGTAATTAATGCTAATTTAGTTTAAATATTTTAGATCTTATCTATGTTCTATTTTTGTCTATACATTCACAATTTATGTAAGCTTAAAATAATCAGTAATTTTCTGATCAAAGTGTTTGGTTCCGTCGAGACGCTTTTAATATTTTTTGCGTGGGAAGTTTTTAATGAACTTTGTAATAATTACCTCATAAATGTTTTAGTTTTAGTATTAGTACGTTTCAAAACTGAAGCATAAACTCAAAAATTTAATATGTTTGAATTTTTTAATCATATTAATATTTTATTTTCTATCTTTTTTTTTAAACATTATAGTAGAGAAGATTGGGTAGCTGTAGAGGTACTCAATCTTTATATACATATCTATACAAATAAAATATTATAAAATACAAGAAAACATGTATATGCGAAGGATTTGAAGTTCTAAAATACTTCGTGGTTTTTTGTTGTAAAAGTTGTTTTTGGTTGTTATAAATAAATTAATGTTGTTTTGGCTATTACCATGATTTATTACAAGAGATTGCTATCAATATTGTGTAACTATAGCTAAGTTATTTGATACCATACTTTATTTATATTTTTAGAACCAACAGATATTTCATCAAATCTTCTATTATATATCTAAGAAATAGATTATATAATGGCCTTTTTAAATATATTCTAATATAGCTTGGTATTAAAAAAATATAAATGATCCTGTATTAGAACACGAATATTATATAGAGACCCGTGCCTAAAAATGTGACCCTAAACGTACACATATCAGCATATGACCATATAATGACATGATATTTTTTTATTATTATTTTTTATTTTGCATGATTCGATTTAAATACTTTTAAAACTCATATATTATTCATGATTCTTAATAGATTTCAAACAATTTTATTACTACTTTCTACTCTAATGATTTTATAAACTGTGTTATAATTAGAATTTTGGATGTCTTAAAGAAAAATGCATAAAACTAGTTCGTTCTTTTATATATTTTACTCATTTTATATATTTTGATTTTAAAATATTCTCCTGACATGTTTGAAAAATTTTAATTTTATACGAAATATACCTTCCAAATTTTTTTATTAAAAACTAGCTGACTTCGTACCGCCTTAATCGAAAAATAATTAATTTCTTATTTCTTTTTTTGGAGTTTACCTTTAAGCCATAAATCTCCGTATTCTGAAGTGCGACAGAATTATTGACATATTAGTTAGTTGTCAAATCTAATGTCAAAAAAACGTTTGCATGGGAAATAGAAAAGCGCTGTTTTTAGGATTTTCCTGAAAATTAATCATTTTTTTCAGCTTTTAAACCTTCCCTGAACCTTCACAAAACATTTCAAGACTAGGATAAGATAAATCCGTTCAGCCGTTCTCGAGTTTTAGTGAGACTAAGGAACAGCAATTCATTTTGATATATATAGATGAAAAAAAAATCTTAATAAATACAGAGAAATAGAGAATATTTGTGTGTCTGCCTCCAGACGGAACACATTTAAGTATTCGCGAATTTTAGCTCGCTGTGAAAATAGAGTTTACGGTTCCTTGGGAAACCAACATCGGCAAAGACCATACCATCAAGCTTAATAAATATTACGAGTTCACTAACGAATTCACTTGAAATAGATTCGTAATGGATTTCGACGCATTAGAAGTGGGAGCGAGAAATATAAAGTCTAAATCTCTCTAGAACCTACTAAAAGACTTGGGACTATCTAGAACTAATATCAATTCATTCTTGGAACGTACTTTGACGGCAGCCCTAGTATGTTCTTTTCAAATTTGCTTAGGTAGAGAGAGGAGCTTGGGCGGTGGAGATGGGTCGCAAGTTCCAGGCACTGTTGATGTTGAAGTAGTACTCCCAGGGAGTAATATGTCTCCAGAAACAAGAAATCATAATGAGATTTTTTTTATATCAAAGGCGTCAAACGAGCAGAAGATCTGTGCGATCTTCTGTGAGAGTGTAGTACTTCCTCAGTCTAGCCAAGTAGCTACGAGCGGAAATCTAGTTTGAAATAACTTTTTAATCATACCGTAAAAAAATAGTTTTGTTATAAAACTTAAATACGATCTTTCCATTAATCACATTTTTTTTTCAAATACCCTATTCATTCCAATAATGTATGAGAAGTAGCTTAGTAATAAGTCTAAAAATTTTACCTAATTATTTATTCCAATGATTTTAATATGTTAATTCACAATCCTTATTTTTAAGGAAAAAACTTGATATGATATTGTAGAATTAGGATTATTGCCATGGGCAGATAATATTGGCTATTAACACCGTTTTGTACATAGTATTAAATCTACATATGTTTATTGAGGTCCTACATCGATAGATATGTATCTTGAATATCCATTATTGGTATGTTTAATATAAAATTTATATAAGATAAATTTTAACAATATAAAAAAAATCCTTATATATAAATTAAAAAATAATTTTGTTTGTTTTTGAAGTGATTTTTTCTACTAACGATTGTTATTTATTTTGAAAACATTTTAGATTTAACATCTGTTTATTATTCTGGAGGAAAAAATTGTCTTACTTTACAAATAAAAAATAATATATATATCGCAACAGAACTGACAAAATTAAAATTGCAATCTGTAGTATTAAGATTCGACGATCAAAATTATTTTGCTTTCACTCGATTATGAATTTAAGGATTTATTTAATCTTGTGTATTTGTAAATATTAAATAAAAGT